TGGTTTGCACTGTCTGCCCTTACCAAAGCTTCTACATTATCCACACATCAAACTTTCTGGGTTCTCCCTTATGGCAAAAAAAAGGTAAAATCATCAAATCCGGAAAGTGCAACAAAAATTTTTTTAAAGTAATCTTTCTATAAAGAAAAAGGCCCTTCGTGGATAAATTAAAATCCCACTGGGGATGCTCATATGCTTTATATGCTGATGACTGCCTACGGTTTATTATATGTCATTGGATAAGGACTCCACAGAGAGTGGCGTATCATTTTCAATGCAGTTATTTGCCTGTCTGTTTTAACAACGGCATTTCTCTATTACTTAATCTAAGTCCAGAAAAAAAAAAAAAAAACAGTAACACTCCTAAAATAGAGAGGAAGTAGACTGCGTGGATGGAAATCAGTTCAAAGCCCTTTACTCCTTCGGTTCAGTGTGGACTGAGGTTCTACATAAAGGTCAAGTTGGTTCTATTTACTGTAATTTAGCTTATGATGAAGTGCTATGAGAAGACAGTGTTTTTCTTTCTCATTTTTCCTCTGTCTCCTTCTTTCTTCCCCTCCTTCTGCTCAGCCACCCACCACCTGTGCTCTGATCTCTCTCTTTCTAGGTACCTCCCTGCATCTAACCATCTGTTTACATAAGGCGTCTATCTATGTCATTGGAATAATTTTAAATACGAGTAGCCCAAATCCTCCCTGACCCCAAAGATATGCCTACTTATATCTATTGAGTTCAAGAAAGAAATACTAATCTATTTCACTCTGAAATAGAAGGCTTTATGGAATGTTTTATTCATGGGTTATGAGCATCAGATTTAAATGATGTTCTAGCGTGTGCCTTTCATGTCTGCCTGAACTTGAAAGACCCTCCCTTTCTTGCATTAAGATTTACCTAGATGCACTCACAAGTCCCTGTGAGGCCCCCCAGTATAGGTTTGGGTACAGGGAGTGAGGTCCTTGATACCGGGGTATTTCCTTGGGTTCCTCTTAGGGTGAGCTATACACAATTGCTCAGAGCTAGTTCCCAGGGTCTCTTCTAATGCTGTCTCGACAATGAGACTTTCAGGTCTTGAAAAACAAATAACCAAAAAAAAAAAGAGGGATAAAATAAAACAACTCCAATCGTGTGACTGGCGATCTCCTTCACTCAGCCTAGGGACACCGTGTGGCCTGGTGCTCTGACAGGAGGCCAAAGGCTTCCTGGCATTCAGGACTCTTCAAAGGAAATGCATGTTTTAAGTGAAGGAAAAAAATGGCTCCTGGTAACTCTGAGTGCAAGCGTGTTGCTATGAAATTTTTAGAGTGAGATGCTGGAACACAGTATTGCTTTCTTCTCTAGCTGATCTGTGGTTACTTTCTGCCTGAGCACGAGGGACCTATTCATGCACCGACCATTAGGAAATGTTAGAGTGTTAGCAAGCAGGACGAGATGACCAATGTCTATCTTTCTAGGGACTCTTTTCTCTCCAAGCTATGTGCACGTCATACATATTTTCCTAGACATTTGTGGCACCATTCACAGGACAGGGAACCTTCCCCACCCCTCACCCTGAATTTGACTGCGGAAAGATGCAACAGGGGCCAAGTCATCTTACACACAGAAACCAAGAGCCAATCAAGAAGGAGAAGCCTGCCCCAGGCACAATTCAAGCAAGCCATTCATGGAGCTCATGTGATGACCCTGCCGAATCCAGAACGGAACACGGACACATCAGCAACACCAAGGGGGCATGCAATGACCAGATGACCATAGGCACCACCGCCATGCTTTGATTGGTTCAAGCTCAGAAAACAACCTCCTCCAGACTTTGAATGGATACCTTCCCGTAAATCAAAGTGAGATTGAAAGGTTGGGTGAGGTCAAGCGCTTGCTAAATGTTTCCTCCACGCCAAGAAAAAGATGTTCGCCTATCCCTGTTAAATTTGTCAATGAGACTATAAAATTACCTAGTTCAGCTTGGTCTTTTTCATTTGGGAAAAATCTCTGCCCACACCAGATGGTCTTCATTCTGGAGGCCAACACCCAGAGACTCTCGGGGTGCTCCGAGATATTCAGCATGTGATCATTTACCAGGAAGATGATGGGCAGAGAGTTTCCAGGTGCCCAGAGAAGACCTCTGGGCAGTCCTGAGGTTATTGGAGTTCAATGTTTTTCAAAGGTTCCTGAATCTTTAATTGGACAAGGGCTTAATTTGTGCTGATAAAAGGTAAAATTCTACCAACAGGGGATATCAAACTTCTTTCCCTTTCAAGATGTCTGATGAGTGAATCTCATGATTACAGGGAAAGTTTGTTGCCATTTTTCTTTTGATCAAACTGACAACCAGTGAGCATTTCCAAAACACTCTCAATGACTGCTGATTCCCTTTCCTATGTTGAAGGCGTTTCTTTTCATTAAGAAGGTTATCTCTTTGTCTTCCTGTCTATCTTTCAGAGAAGAGGAGCTCAGAGCCGATGACTACTGATCTTATTCTGTGAGAGTGTAAAAATAATTTATCATCCTGTTGCCCTGAGATAAATTCTAGATACGTGGCATCTTTAATAGAGATTCAAAAGCTCTTCTGATAATTTCAAATTTCCCACCCCCAAAATGTGAGTCTTTCTAGAAGGACCTTCTTTCTTCATGTCTGCTTTCTAAAAATGTGAGGAAGCCCCACCATTTAACAGAGACACTTCATAAATCAAACCAGAAATGTAATTTTAGGGATTGTTTTCTGGTAATTCATCTATTACTGGAGTTTACCTCGATGAATAATTCCATGGGTGACAAGGATCTCACTCACGATAGAGTTAGGGAGGGCTGGTGATCAATTTCCACAGCAACCAAGAAGACCTAACGTGCAAATGTCTCTAACGAACAACAAGAGGCCAATTACGTGAGGGAGAACAGAGTTAGTTGGTTTCTTCAGCTGAAACAGTCCTACTGCACTGGGAATTGTAGAGTTATTAAAGATTTACCCATCCAAGAATGAGGGCATTTTTTTTTTCTGTAGTATATGCTGCCAATGAGAAATCTTAATAATATTAAAATGACAAATTTTATACATATATTTACATACATGGTATTCTAAAATGCAGAAAATTATAACTGAATTTTAGATGAATGCGAGTGGAAATAGCTAGCTTCTCAAGTAGCTCTATTGAAGAATAGAATTAAACACTGTTTATTTTGTTCAAATGTCTAGATTGGTCTCATTGAAGAAGGCGATTTTGCAATTTTGTAATTAACCTTTTTTCAACTTGGGGATGGATGCACTTATACTGAGAAGCAAGATAAACATTCAAAGAAATAAATCCGTTTAAGATTCTTATAATTATAAGGCAGGCTAAAGTTACTGTGATTATAATTACACACAAAGTGGGTGTTTGAGAATTTAGCATCTAGAGATATTTTCATAAAAATAATTAAGGGTTGTAGCTGAACCACTTTCCATTTGATACTGTGCAAATTTTCAGTGTTCGTAATTTAATAGCATTAAGTCTTTTCATTTGTAGAATGATCTTGAGTATTTTGAGATTGTCATCATTTTTATTAGCCTTATAGACCCTGTTTCCCTAATCCAGTGTCAGAGTGTGTTGAACATAACAATTTATATAAAACATTTTGCATCTTGGCAACTGATTATTGGGTAAGTGGATAATTTATGTATTTACAACTGTGTCTTGACAATGGTTTGGATTTCTTTGAAGCTCCCTAAGCCTTGAGAACTTGTTATGGCTGTTTATAAGAAAATAATACCTGTGTACAACCAGACAGCAGATCAAAACATTCTCTCTCTCTCTCTCTCTCTCTCTCTCTCTCTCTCTCTCTCTCTCTCCAAAGAGCCATTTGTTATGAGCTTATGCATGAGGTTTTCCAAGTGCAGCTTTTGAAATTCAGGGAAGCATTTTGCCCCACTAGGTTGCAGAGGAATTCTGTAGCTACAGTGAGCTAACCACCCATCTTGTGCGAAATGGAATGGTACTGCCGAGAAAGCACACCACAGCAAACCAGAGAGGAACTCAATTGCCACAGGCCAGGTGGGAGGACAGAGTGGCTGCGGCCGCTTCTCACTGAGGAGTCTAATGCACTGCCCGCTTACCTGTCTGACCCAGCATGCCTCAGCCACACATGCAAATTGTTATCATTATTGTTTTACTCATGAAACAGATTTTTAAATTAAAGGAGTCATTACCAAAAGTAAGCACCCTCTACGACCTTTGTGCATGCAGTGCATCCAAACATTCACATTTATGTCCTCAGAAAACAGAGCCAGGGAGTTGCATTCAATATGGAAACGCACACTTTGTTTTCTTAAGGCACCTCTACAAAAATAGCTACAGCTTGCTGTTCCAGGAACCAAGACATCTGTAAGTGCTGGGGAATCAAGCCACCCCCACACACCCGATCTGACTTCTGCATTTCTCAGACACTCTTGGGTCCCTTCCCATGCCAGTCTTCACGTGTGGTGTGCATTGCAAACTGAAGTTGACTTGTGTCTGTAGGATTGGACCCTGGGCATTGTCAAAAAGAATGAGCCTCCTTATGAAAAGCCAGAGGCACTTCCCATTCTTTTTATTCTGAATTAAAAAATGCAGGGAGGGGATGCTTCCCTGCGTGGAAGAAGGGAAAGAAGGTGCTTGGGAGGGAGGCAGACCTGCGGGATCCTTCCTGCGAGCTGACACCATGGGGTTTCATAGAAGAGTGTCCGTGTGTGTGTGTGTGTATACGTGTGTGTGCTTGTGCAAGGGATATGGTCGTGGGAATAAAGAGATCTGAAAAAGGGGTGTTCTGGGGCAGAGGCTCCTTGTCTCTGTGTCTTATCAGAGAGGGTGGGGGTGCAGAATCAACTCCTGGCGACTGTTCACCTTCTTTGTGGCCTGTGTACCTTCAGCACAGGGTCTCACTCTGGGTGCTTTTTCCCCAGCCATGCATTGTCAGAAGACTGGAGGAGGGTCTTCTGTCCCACCAACTAAGTTAATTGCCAGTAGTTGTCAAGCACAAGAAGGAAGGACCCTTACCTGTCACTGTAGGCAGCAGCAGTGGCAGGAGTGGGCTGGGCGTAGCGGTATGCAGCGTAACCACCCTAGAACACAAGGAGAAGGTGACTTAGGGATGCGGAGGAGCCCAACTTGGGGACGCCCAGCAGTGAGACCACACCAGAAGAGCTGTACCCAAATCTACCAATCTAAAGTCGAGGTTAATGAGAGCTTAGTATCGAAGCAGAAGGTACAAAACACACCGGAGAAAGAAGGGGTTGAAACAAGCCCTGCTGCGTGTTAAAGGTTAGCGTGTGCCCACAGAAGAACCCAGGTCCCCTCAGAAGGCGACACCTGCGTGTTAATGGCCATTGTCCGGGGCAGGAGGGTGATGGGGGTTATTTAAATACTCTACACATGGGGCTGAACTTTCCAGATTTTTAAACTTGCTCATGCTTTACCTGTATTTGTTAGATATTAAATTTTATTTTTTCCATCCTTTATTATTTCCTTTTAAAAAAAAATCAAGTAAACCCTCCCATGTCTTATTTTCACACTTATTGTTAAAAATCAGATAACACTTCAGGTGAAAGTTCACGAGTAACTCCTTGCATATGTGGTCATGTAACCACTAAGTCTATTGAAGAGGACTGTCATTGGATGTCTAGATGTTACAGAAGTAACATAAAAATGAATTGTGAGCATCCTTTTAAAGACTCTGTTTTGGTCTAAAATTATCAAACTGTTATGTGTCTCTCAGGTTCAGATGGGGAATGTAGCGTGGAAATCACGATAAAGTCCTCTAATTTGTAAATGAAATCATTAAGAGAGAAAAAAATCTGAAAAGAAGAAATAATTAACATTTAGTTGTATGTACCAGTAATTGCAATTGTTCAATTAAGCAAAGAGGACTAGCAAATGGGCATATTCGAAATGAATTGTGTTCAGTGGAGCTTTGATTATCAAACTGTGAAAGGAACACAGCTTCTTGCTCAACGGACCACAGCTATATGTCAACCACTGTGGAACCATCTCAGCACAATTAACAAACAGGATCCAGTTTCCCTGAAAACACAGGGTCCCATAATCCTGAGGGAAGTGTTCTCACCCTCGCCATAAAAGGGCAACTCAGGATAGAATTGTGTGTCAGAGGTCAGAGGTCATCTAACAGCCAAGTCCCAAGAGCACTAACTTGTCTTGACATTGATCCTATTTCTGGGGGAAGTTAAGCAGGAGGAGAAAAGGTAGATGAAGCCAGGGAAGCCTTGAAAAGCACCTTTCAAACTCCAGGCAGGCTGGTCTATCTCTTTCTATCTCTTTCTAGCCACAGTTGACTTTCAGAATGGATCTGCAGTTGCTTGCAAAACAACTCTAAACAGCTAGTTTATCCTTAAAAAGTTCATGCTTTGGCTCAGCCTGGAGAAGACACATCTGAGACATCCTGACAAATAATCAACAGTAATTTGGAGCCAGTATTTTTAAAATAGCCTCCCTTATAAAAACAAAGTGTCAGTTTATTATTTTTAAAAAAGGTCTTAGCTATACACCACCTGGTGTTCCAAACACCATCTTCTCTAATTAGGAATGGGGGCAATCATTAAATGTGGGGGGCAGTCATAACACCAAAGCCATTGTCATACTAGTGCTGAGCCCTAGATGTGGAATGACGGGCTGAGCAGAAATGAGGTCACTGGATTTCTGGAGCCTTTCTTTTAATCCGCTTGCCCGTCTTCTCGGGTTTCATGATGCATACACAAAGACACAGGTGTAGGAGTATGCATATTAAACTTAACGAGGTAGGAAGGGTCTAGAGTTGGGCAGCCGATTGTTAGGAGGCATTAGCTGCAACTGGCTGAAAACTGAGTGGAGAAAAAGTGTGTGTGTGTGTTTGTGTGTGTGTGGGTGGGGGAGGATTCTCTTCCCCAGAACAACAACAAAAAATTAGCATAGGTATTTGTACCAGGTGCCATGTAAATTGTGACTGTGTGACTATGCATTTGGTCCCAGCAAAGATTGCTAGCATTTGCAAATGCTCTTGTTTGAACTTCACTTATCTCCCCAATATCTGCAGCAGGTAGCAAGTTTGCTAAATATTTTGCTAAATTAACTGTTTTAGTGCAAGTAGAAAGTAAAAAGAACCTCACTGGGTTGATATCTACCATAGGAACACAACTTGCAGGTGTGTAAAACAGGAATCCTGCAAAAAAAAAAATGTGCTCATCCCTGAGGATTTGGGAATGCTCTCTACTGTGTACATCTGCATGTGTTTTGGCCATTTAGAGGAAATAAGTGTGTGTTTCTATACGAGATCCTGGAATTTGTTCACAAGCATTCCTGATTCAAAATTCAGCATCCTCATGTGCTGCTGTCTTCAGAGCAGGTGAGAAGACTTTGACCTTGATCAGTGGTCTCATCCCTGTCCAGCAGACCACATGGTAATGACAGAATTGCCCTAGATCTGTGCTTTCTAGTCAATAGTGTTTAGTGTCTACTGGACACTTGGATTGTGGGTAGGGCGACTAACTGAATATTTAATTTGCTCAATTTTAGTTAATGTGAGTTCAAATGTGAATAGCCAATTGCAGGAGGTGGCCAAAGTGCTGGACAGCCCAAGTCTAAGTGGCCCCTGGAACCTGCAGTAATTGGGGTGAAAGAGGATTAAGTGGCTTGATACCACCATCCTTCTGTTACCTTGTCTTCCTCGCTATTTTTCTTTTGCATGAAATCCATACGAGGGAAAGAGTGCAATTGTGCATTAACTCCGTGCATGTGTGCACACACTATAAAATTATCCAAAAGTACACGTTGCTTTAATTTGCCTTTCTAACAGGTGACTTGGATCAACTTTATTGCTTTCTATTTTGCAGCTTTCTGGGCAGAGTTGCAGCTGTTGCGTGGCTTTATGTCTCAGAAAGGAGGTATCTCTGCTCTTGGGAGGTCACCAGACCCTGTTCATGTTGAGCCTGGTCCTCCCAGACCTCATGACAAAAATCAAGTCAAATAGATTTTTTTTTTTCCTGCCGCCAAACCAAAGGAAAAGGGAATGATAAATATAACACAGCTCTACACATCCCACTCATAAACACGCTCATTTTCCACTTTGGCAGCAAACTGTAAATGGGTCTTGATATCAAAATAAATTTAAATGGACACCACTACCAAAGACAGGCATCCAAAGAAACCTGCTCTCCTAGACTGAGCTGTTTCCTCTGTTAGGGAATCCTGGAGGCCCCTTGGCATAGTCACCCACTGAAAATGCTCTGAGAAAGCATTTTCAAAATTGTGCTCATGGGAACATTAATGATGGCAAGAAAAAAAAAAAGATTCCATGACCAAACAGGTTGTGGAAATGCTGGGTTACGCTAGGTGAAGCAGGTATTCTACCTGTGGAATTTGGGAGAACAATACTGAACACTGATGAACTACTCAAGGTAACTTGGTGAAACAAAATAAACTTTTCACCTCAGACTACACTTTTAGCAAAAGGGAGGTAAATGTTCACGTGCTGGAGGGAGGGGACGTGCTTCTGAGTAGGGCTATGTCATGTGTGGGGTGTGTATGTGTGTGCACACACGTGTGCATGCTTCCCTTCAGCACCAGGGCACCAGACAGCAGAAATGAGCCCGACCTGAGAGAGAGAGAGAGAGAGAAGCTTGCTCCTTGTCCAGGTGTAGCCACGGGCACGGACTCACTTTGTGCAAAGCAGGTGTATTGGTATACACACAACTCAAATTTTATTCAGTGTACTACCATTTGCAAGAACATTTGGAAAAGGAGACATTTAAATACAACCATGACTCCTTAGTTAATCTGCATTATTATACCTTCAGCTACTTGTGAAGTGTGGCAACAGAAACACAGTTTTCTTGAAATGTGACCCTAAAAGTTGATCTCAGGTATCTTAACTACTTTGCCTTCCCCTAGGTCCGAGTATCCCTTTTCATATTTGTGAGTTTTAAAATTTTTTAAAAATTTAAATTGGATCAATTTTCATGACTGAAAAAAAAATCAGTACCTTGCTTGTTGACTTAATACTGAATAAAAATGAGAATTGCAGGTAACAGGAAAACTCATGTGATAAAGCGCCTACAAATCATTCTCAGTCTGATATTCATCTTTCATTTTATTTGACAGTTTCAGTGTTAGTGATAGACCAAATCTGGAGACTCAGCCCACAACAGATGTGTTGATTTTTTTTCTTTTCTTCCTACAAATCCAGTCACTTGGGCTTTTATTTGGGGGTTGCTTCCATAGCGAGAAATAAGGTTTGAGAGTTCTAGCAAGTGTGAAATAAATTCCTGACCAGTTATAACAAAACCAAGGAGGGTTATTAAATGTTAGCTCTGTGGACCCCATGTTGGATATAAGGACTCCAAGAACCTACCAAAAAATGGCCCAGGCAATTGGTTCAATGACACCCTCTAATTATGTTTTTTTGCTAAATTTATATTGATTGAGTCCAGATAAGGCCAAGAAATTAAGAGCTGAGTTTAGACCTCCAATTTAGTATGCTTGTGATCCAGCAAGGCTCACGGGTGCGGCTGTCTGACTTCAGTCATGGAAACAGCCTCCGCGTAACTATGGACCTATCAGAAGACAAGGGGGTGATCATCCCTACCCTAGAGCTCACATTGAAACTGGAAAATTCAGCGAGCTTCTCCTTCGATGTTAGAAAACGTTTCCCCCTCCCCAGAACTGTCTCGTTAGTAAGGATTTCACAGCAAACCCACGACAAAGTGATGAGTTTTTCCACCAGTTGGGATTTCATACCTGCAGCAATTTATTGCCATACACAGGCTCTTGATACACTACTCTATAAGGAAACAGAAATGTAATGTTTTCAATGCAAAAAAATGAAATAAATAAAAGAAGATGCATAAGTCAGACAGATTCCAGAGTAATTCATTTACAAGTTTGCTTTTCTGAGGTCACTGAGACAGGGGAGTGACCCACTAGATCAAAAGGGGAACCGGGCTTGGCCAAAAGCTTGTAGCTGCAAGTCTTTATTACGGAGACTCCCAAGGAGGCTGAGATCACGATCCATGCACACTATTTGTAGTTGGGATCTAACCTGTGTTTATTTTTAAAGAAGTTAAAAAAACGATAATTTCATGGCTTTTCAACTTGCGAAACACAATCCAATGTTTCAAGCTAACTACAGGGAATTTGTCTCTTTATCTCATGACTGGAATTCTCCAGTCTACCTGCCTGGGAATTTAATTTGGAGGCCTAATTATGTAGGCAGCTATGACAATGATATAGTAGCAGCCACAACTACATCAGTGGCTCTATTTGCTAATGATATCAACTAATAGCACAGTGGAATTGTATTTCACAAATTCATGAGTCACACTGAGGCTACCAAACCTACTTTTAGTAGACTTGACTGGAAAAACCTATGGGTGGGCATGTTTAAAAGAGATACTGTTAACACACAGGTCCCTAACGCATCACTTCATTGAAATCTAATGCTGACAAGGACTCGGTAGAACCCTCTACAGACTGGAAACCATTGGGGATGTGAGTTATTCACGAGTGATCTCTCCTGCATGTGGACTGAATTTCAAGAGAAACTCTCTAGTTCCAGGAGAAGATATCAAGAGTTTGGGCATTTTTAGGGATTTAGGAAGCTGCCTATAAATGTATGTGTGTATCTATTTTTTTTCTTACATAATCTGATTTTCCTTTTGAGTCAGTTTTATTTAACCTTGCCATTTAAGTTAAAATCTAAGCTTGTGGAGCTCTGTCAAAGTTCTTGTGTCCACCCTCGGCAGATCTCACGGCATATCTGAAGGTTTCAAATAAAGACACGGCGCTCCAGGGCCCTGCCATTCCTATACTGTCGGTCTTCTCTGACTTCTCACCCTCTTCCTTTCCTTTCTTAGGTTTTTTTCAAAATTTGCAACAACTTTAATTGGCCGGTTCAGTGCTTGAGTGTGGCCTCTGCAGCCAGATCATTGTGGCTTCACGCTTCCAGGTCAGGAAAGATAATGAGACAAATTATTTCATCTTTTTTTTTTTCTGGGAAAAAAGAAATATTTCCTCTTCTAAAAAAAAAAAACATGGAGGTGATGTGCTCCCTGTCTTCCTGGGTGTGTGAGAGGAGGGATACAGCTTCCCCGCTGAGCTCCTCGTCTCTGGAACAGAGGACGCTTGGCGAATTGACCCTGGAATGACGGAGGGCAGGCAGCCTCATGCTGCCCCACTCTGCTGGCTCTTACTAAAAGTGGGGTCTCAAGAGCAAAGACTCGAGTTTGTATTTGGGAGAATTCCCACTTCCCAGTGTCCCCAAAGCCAGGGACACTTCTCTTTCCTGAACTTAAATATCAGTGGCATGAGGACACCTTTTTATCTTAAGACACGTGGTTGACAGAGTGACATGAATGCAGAAGGCAGTGTGTCCAGCCACAGCGTCCGCCAGAAACTGGTTATCATGGAATTCAGGAATGGTGTGAACATGCTTCTGGATGTCACTGAGACACCTCCTCCAGGACGCCCTAGTGGCTGCACTCAGGAACCCCAGGCACCCCTAGCTAAAGGGGCTCCTTTCACATTGACCTTGGGCACCTTCCTCTCTCTCCCTCCTACTGCCTGGCTCATCGCCAACCTACTCCAGTTTCTACCCATAACTTGTCAAAATTTTTACAGCTCTCATGGAACTTCCTCTGGTCCCTCTTTGCATTTTCAATATCTTTGATCAACAGCTGCGTCCTTTGCCCTCTTGCCGGAGGACACCAGCATGGATCCTGGTGAAGCTCAGGCAATACCTCTCTTCCACCTCCCGGCTAGGCTCTGGCCTGGAGGGGTCTACAGCTTCCCTGTGAGTGGAGTGGAAGGTTCCACGGGTCCGGGATACTTTAGTCCTCAACTCTGGCTTTAAGTGTGTTTTGTCCCTGCTGCTTTTTAAGTGTATCTTTAATTTGACACACTTTTTAATGCACACTAAGCAGTAGTAGTTACCTTGTAGTTTGATATGATAGTTAAAAACTTAAATTCCTGTCTTTTTAAGCCAATGTGGTATGTGTGTCTCCATGGTGACCAGAGGCAGCCTTCTCCTGAGGGCTCAGCTCTTGGGGAGGGTGGGTACCTCTCCTTTCCCTAATTTCTACTTAGCTCCTGTCTGATGGCATCTCTTAATCTCTTGGTACCCTGGTGTAGGCTGGCACCTGGCCCTCGCCTGTGCCTTCTCTGTTTCCCACCTGCCTGGCTCTGTGGATCTTCTGAGCGAGCCTGATGCCCCAGTCCACGCACACTCCTGGTGACCTGCTCTCCTAGCTTGTCCTTCCTGTGGCAAGACCACAGTCCCTGCCTTCGGGCAGCTTCTACTTCCTGCTAAATGAGAATCTGTGAGGCATGGAAAAACATACGGGTTTGAAATATGCAAAGGGCAGGGTGCCAACTGATAAATCAGTGAAGTAGCATTTTCACCTCGGGAAGAAACCAAGGCACTTGGAAGTGGACACTCCATAAGTGATGGCTGAATTACTATGATCTTTATTCCTATCACTAGGCTCAGGGACATACTCCCCCCGCCCACCTTTGGATGGGTGCTGATGAAAATAGCTTTCTTTCCAGTGGATTTGATTTTTAAAATTTCTCCATCCCTCATCTACACCCTTCTGTTCTCCAAGTTAAACCATAAAATAATAGTAATAAAGCCCTAAACTCAGATATACCAATGACAGTCCCTTCATCTGCATGATCTCCCTGTGGACAACTAGAGGCAGGGACTTGGGATTCATAAGGTACAGGAGGATAAGGCTGACTCCACACTGCTTGGTCCCATGGCATGGACCCAAGGAGGATGTGGCAAGAAGCAGCTTAAGTTACACCAAAAAATGAAAACAGGCTGTTAACAGAGTTCATAAAAGCATGTAGTCCACTCATTTTATTACAGGAAAATAAAACCCATGGATGATGGTACATATAATGAATAACAGAAATTGACTAAGTCCATCGTTGATGGAGATTAACACTACGTCTCAGAACTGTAGTGATCTGAAATTCAAGAGGAATAAAATTAAATAAGCAGTGTCTCTCTCATTTTCTAGGAAATGGCATCAATTTGATCAGAAATATAGTTTTATTTTTCTTTGTTATCTAGCCTATAAAACAACAAATATGATTCCACTGACTTATTTGAGGCCATTAGTAATAAAAATTATGTGATTTTGAGAGTCCCTCCTCAATACTGCCCACTTATTTTCAATTGTGTTTGTTTCAAGTAATTTTCTTAAAATTGATGTTTGTATTCTCATGTGGAAGAATCAATTCATCTAGGTGAATGTAGGTGAGTTAAACTATGGCCCCCATAATGAGAAACACCCTATTTTTTCCAAGGAGGAAAAGTTTGACAAAGTGGTACCAATTACCAAAAAATTAAAGTTGGGTAAATGTTCTGGGGAAATAGAATAAATGGTTGAAGAAAATAAGAAATTAATGTTCAAGTCTACATACATTTTCTTGGGAGATTTAGGTGTTTCTTGGTAAACTCATCCATGTTCAGAGACAGAGAGACTCTTCCTAGGGCGGTTGTGATAAGTTAATTATATTTATCAGGAAAGCATCAAGAATGGTAGCCATGAAAATACCGTTAAACCCTCTATAGCTGGTAACTACAGCTCTTCTCCTAAATATTATACCAAGAACACTCAGGCCATATTGAGAACTCTGGAGACAGTTTCTTGGGGGATAGGGTCTTCCATTGGGCCCTGGAGAAGCGCTACCTTTTGGGGGGGGACTGTGTCAATTCTGAAGCTGTTGAAGGAGTTAATTCCCCTCAAACAGCAAGGGATGCTTCTTATGAGCTCAGGAGCAGAAGTCTTTCTGCCTGGGAGGCAAGGCTCTGGGTTCGTTCCTACAGACCTGGAGGAGGAGGTCTGACTACACCGCATGGAGGTTTTTGCAGCAAACTTGTAAAAGGAATGACTCTGGGTGGAAACAAGGACAGCATGCACGTTAATGAATACTTACATAAATGTCTGCACCATAAAATCCATCCTGGTAAACAACACTGCAGGGTGCACACACAAAGAGAAACATCCATATTAGTGCATTTCCCCATGCGGACACGCCAACCCCTGCACGGGCCAGGTTAGTCTGGTCACAAGATCCGAAACACAGGAACCCAGGAGAGTTTTCACACTGATTAAGGAGGTTGGAGACAGCATGGGTCGATCACATCAGGACAATTAGGCTGGGGTTCGGGGCGGGTCCAGAATTGGCACGTTTGGCTGGGCACCCAGCTTCCTACTCTCTTGGGAGGAGGTATGGAGATGTGCAACTTGGAAACGCAAAGAGGATTGACATGTCTTGTGAGCGGCCCACACAGACACGAGCATCTTAAGAGATCAGAGTTTGCAGTCAGGCCACAGAGCTCCCCCCAAAACACAAAACAAAACATCTGTGTAAAAATAGGATTGCAATGGGGAGACACACAGAGTGCAGCGCTCTGACTATGGGTCTGAGCTGGAAGGCCCCGGGGAGCTGGGCAGGCTGTGCTATGGTACTGGGTGATTCTATCAGCCACCCTTTCATGTGTATATGTGTGCAAGTATATTTTGTGCATGAGTGTATGTGTTAGTATGTACAAGTGTGTAGGAATAGGGATGCATGTGTGAACTTGTCTATATGACGCTCTGTGTATAAACACGTGTGCATATCTTCATGAACGTGTGTCCATATCTGTATATGTATGCATGTGCTCTTAAACACACGTGTGTTGCATGCATGTGTTATCTTTGTGCATTCACGTCGATTCAGACTAAGCAAAGTTTCACATCATGACTCAACAAACCCAAACTCACAGGAGCT